AGACGGAGGCTACGGAGTTCATTTAGGAGAGTCATCACTCATTTTCAATCACCTCAGGTGGACGAATTACGAAGCTGGGCAATTTTGATCATCATCGCACACACTCATCTCTCGCTCGTCAGTCCACCACACGCAAACGCTCTTCAGCTCTTAGCTCATTGCATACCTCTCAATCTAGAATCCAGTCTCACAGTTTAGCTCATTCATGGCAATTTCTCATGGACCTCTCCTTCAGTCAGTAGCTATGGAGAGTGAAATGAGAGGCTAAATCTTCAAAGATTCTCCAAGATGATGAAATTTCATTTGAGCTTCATATTCTCTTGGTTTTGGTTCTATTGATTGCTCAAATCTGATTCTAGTTTTTGTTATAATTTTGAATTTAGTTCATTTATTCTAGTTAGATTGAATGAATTAATTTGATGTCATTTATCTTATTAAGGATCAAATTGCTTTGGTTACATTTTTCATTGAATTTATGCACCTCAAGTGTTTGAGTTTATGTTTGAACAGTTATTATTTGTTGAATTTGAATTCCTCTTGAGTCTTGCTTGATATTTCTGATTCATTCAGCTTCCATTGAGTCTTAATGATGAGTTGATTGTCTAAATTTAATTGTTTTAAGTGTTAGAGCAAAGTTTTAGCAAGGTAAAAATTTAACGTGATTTGTTTTATCAAAGTTTGAAAATTGTTCAGGGGTTATATGTCTTGGTCTATGCCACATTTACCTAGTCCTAGTGGTCATAAGGCTTTTAATTTTGTCAATTGAGTCACGTAGAGACCAAGCTCATAGAATTAAGGAGTCTATGTTGGTGGAAGAGATTCAAAACTTGGAGAATTCACCCATTTTCTTGTTTAAGTCAATTTTACTTCCATCGATTTTCACTTAAAATTTAGAAAACTAAAAATATTTCTCTTCTTGATTTTTATCAAACCAACATTGTTTTTAACTTGTGAAAATGATTTATGAATTGTCTTTGGTTGCTTAAGTTTGCTCTCTTGGAATTTAATGACCTAGGGTGTATTCAACTATATTCTAGTTTCTTTAAAAAGTTTGATACAACTTAGAGCTTTTCATATGGGTTCAAATATTTTGTGTATTTGAGTAGCTAAACACTTTGTTCTAGGATTATTTAGAACCCTTGTATGGATTAACACTAATTTTCTCCTCTCTTTTTGTAATTAATGATATATAAGTGTTTATTTTACTTTTCTCTTATTGTTCCTAAGTGATTGGCCACCATTTAATGCTCGCTTGGGTGTAGAACTTAGGTAAAATAGTGCAAGAACTTAAAGTTTGCATGATGGATGAATGGATGGTTTTGCTAGTAAAATAGAGATATACTTTTTAGCCTTACATAAACACATTAAGATTGGTGTTTAATTGAATTTTATTAAATGTAACAAGAGATTGGGTAATTAATTTTAACTAAACACTTGTTCATGACTTGAGAGAGCTTATTCAAGTATTTTTTAAAACTCTACATTAGCACTTATTTTCATGAAAAACATTTATGAGAGGAGGTGATTTCAATATTATGAGATGCAAGGGGGATAAATAATCTTAGGTCTTAATTTATGCTTGAAGTTTGAGAATCATTCTCTTTTCTTTTTTTATTTATAATATAAGTTTCAAAATAAACTCTATCTAATTATGTTTTGCTCAACCTGATTGAACTTGCTTAGTCTTTTGCTTGACCATATTTTTAATACAAATCTCTATAGGAATGATACTTTACTCATATTATATTACTTGTCACGGCCTATGCACTTGCAAAGAGCACAACAGTCATTAGCTACAAACTCATTTCATTGTGCTCCCTTACAATGCCATCTTTAGATCACTTCGCAACTTCATCACTATGAGAAGATCTAATGTTTTAACTTCTAGTTAATATGTATACCCTTTAGTTAAAAGGGTGCTTCTGGTACTTATTAGATTCACTTGTGCAAATTTCAAAAACCATTAGAGTGACAAAACCTCTAAGAGCATGAAGATCAAGAGAAGACTTATTTAAGTAGGTTTATTTATTTACTTAGTTCAATTCATGCTTGAATACACTTTGTACTCAAGCTTGAATTGTCCTAGAGTGTCAACTTGTGTTTTTGCATAAATGGCATTCCATGCTTGAATCAAGTAGATTTATGCTTGGAATGGTACATGCCTATTTTGGGTTGAAGTCTAAATTTAAAGATCCTAAAATCAAGCAAGCCAAATCAAGCTTGTTTTGGAGTGTTCCAAGCATGAATTATCATCCAGAGAAGTTATTTGCTTCTGACATCTGTTCCATGCTTAAGAACTAGTGGTACCCATAGGCGAATTGTCATCCAGAGAAGTTGGGAGCTTCTGCCATCCATTCTACACGTGAGAACAAGTGGTAAGTATGCGTGATTTGCAACACAAAGAAGAATGAAACTTCTACCATCCAAATCATGCTTCAAAACATTAAAACCCTATGCCTAAAACATCATCAATGAACCAAAGTAAAATAGTCAAGCTCCATTCCATGCTTGAAATGTCTCCAACAACTATAATCATTGTTGCAACAATCTAAAACTTTCTTAAACTATAGATATGACCTTAGTTAAGTTAGTGAGCATATTAACATCATTTTAAGTCCATGAGCATTCTAAAAAACACATTTTTGAGTATTAAAGTGTCTGCAGTTATTCTCTTATTAACTTTTTGATAGATTTGTGAAAAAGATCTCATTAGTAGTATAAGCTTTTATTGTATTCAATCTACTCTTTTCAAACATACTTTATTAAGAGTTTTATTTGTTTACTTGAGTTGAAATCTTAGAAATAGAGTTTTTTAAGTGAGCTGTAACAACTTGCTGGTGTAACAAGTATTGTTGTTGAATTAAGATTAGTGAAGTATTGAAAGTTGTATTGTGGTAGCAAGCACTCATTAAAACTTGTGATTATAGTTGAAAATCTCAAGGATGATTTTGAGGACTAGACATAGGCCAAGTGGTTAGGCTAAACCAGAATGAATCAATTGTCTCAAAGCTTTTCTTCTCAAGGCTCTTAAAATTTCCAGATTCCACCTTGCTTTTCATTACTGAAGTTGAAAAGTCTAGAAAAAAAATCTTAAACACCCATTTATTTATTTTTTTATATAAAGTTAAATTATATGTATAATTTAAAGTGTCTAGTGGGTACTAGCCTTGTCCAACATGTATGTATATGTATAAATGACATCAGGATAAATCATCATCAAACTCTTTATGTAAAGTTAAATTATTTATATTTTATATTTATTTTAAACAATGCTATTCAATTTTATGTTTAACTTAATATTAAATTTATGAAAATAAAATAAGTAACTTTACTTTACCCAAAAAAGTAACTTTAATTTAAAAGTTATTTTAATTTGAAAATAGGGTAAAGTAGCAAATTTAGCCACCAACTATTTTTTCAGGAGCACTGGATAGCTTATGCTATTAAGTGATGCAAAATAAATCATCAATTTTAAAAAACGAAGCATCTAGTAACCCATTATTAATTTTATTCAACGGACGTTATGTGGGGCTGACAAATGACTTGTGGCACTCCACTTTAGTATGTGTAAAGGTGTAAATTTAGCCACAAACTTTTAAATTAAAGCCCAAATAGTCTGAGAAACCCACTATCCATTTCCTTGAATGATCTTGAATTACCCCAGCATGACCCTCAACTTTATTTGAAAAAGAATGGAAGTGTTGGTCATTTTGGACAATTGCAGTTTGAATTTTGTAGTATTTTGGGCTGGCATATGGTTTCTCCTTATCCTGGACACTTAGGATCAAACTTGTCAGGGGTAAAACAAGGAAAGCAAAGAAATTAATCATGTTTGGGTAGAATTTTGGACTCTGATCATAGGACAAGTCCAACTCAATCTTGAGCTTCCTCAATTTTTTGTAACATCCCAAAATGGGTATGGACCATAAATGGATTGGACCTAGAACTCATTGTTGGGCAAGTTTTTTTTATTTTTTTTTTTTTTGTTTGTTTTGTTGTTTTTTTTTGTGGCCATGGTTTGTCATGAAAGCTAAACAAGCTAATTCTTGAACATATTTTTTTTATTCCCCTTTTTCTTGTACGATTCAAATAGGGAGAGAATTTACATGTTTTTCTTCTTATTTTCAACTAATTTGCTACTTATTTGTATCTATATGACTAAATTTTTAATGTTATTTCCTTAGTCTTAATTTCAATCTCTATAAGTTATTTTGTTAATTAATAATGGTTCTGAATGTAATCCTTAAACATTTTATCTCCAAATCTATCTTTGTCATACTAGCTCTTACCATTCCTTCACATGTGGTATAGTAAAATCATTATAATATTTAAAAAAAACTACTAAATTTTAAATTTTTTATGGAAATTAGGACAATATTATGTCAAACTTCATAATACAAGACATTGAGTTTACATCAACTTCAACATGGGTCCAAGAAAAGTAATATAAAGATTAGTTTCACAAGTCACAACCTTGTTCTACAGATAGCTAATCCTAATTAATGGTTGAAACATTCAATTCTCACTCCAATTTGAAAAATCATATACATATCCAAAATCATATTCATAGGTAAATAAGAGGAACTTGAAGTAACAAATTCCAATGGCATGTGTCCAATTCATTTGTGACTGTTTATCACTTCTTAAAATTCCAATGGTATGTGGTTCAATTCATTTGAATTCTAATGATTTCTTAAAATTCCAAAGATATATAATCTATTTCATTTATAATTACTATTCTTCTCTTCTTAAATATGTCTAGCTTCTCAAAGAATTATAAATTAAATTGAGCAGTTTTTTCACTCTTGAATGATGGAATTTGAAGGTGCAAGTGTATGTAAAAGTATATGATCCATTTTAGATTTAAATCCTCTAAAATTATGATTTGTGAATTCTTGCAAAATTTTCCTTTTTAAAGAAGAGAGATAAGATTTTATATTTTATAAAAAATAATAAAATGCATGAAAATACTAAAAAAACAAAGGAAAACGTCACCTAAATTCACTAATACCAATTTCATAACCTTCGAAATTTTTTTGTATAGTCGCTTGTCAAAACATTACTGTTGCTATTACTGATCAACAGCAAAGGGTCACTTAAATTGCTATCTAAATGGGGAGAAAATGTATAGGGAAAATGATAATTAAGGACTTTCTAAAAATATTAATCTCAATTATGGATTATGAAATTTTAAAATCTCAGTTAAAGACTATGGCCCTTAATTGTGCCTCCTTCATCTTTTCCAATTTAGCTTCAAGGGTAATCTCAGCCTCTACCCTTGCCTCTGCTCTTGCTTGAGCTAATATCATAGTCATCTCCTCCCTTGTCACAAGTCCTGAAGAATGGCATTGACGAGGTAGTCCAAATACATCCCTTATGCTCACCCCTAATCCAACTCCCCTAACACATCCAGGATGCTCTGGTTTCCCTATAGTTATAGTCAAGATGTCATTCCTTCCCTCTAGAATGAATGATCTATCAGATTGTTTTTGTTTAAGCTCATTCTGTAACATACAAATAACAAAAACAAACAATTAGTAATATTTTATGTTTAAAAAAATACACAAAGGCAAATTGCTATACTTACAATTTTGGCAACAACATCACGAGCATACTCGCTTGAAAAGGACCCATCCTTCTTTTGGTGAGCGTGGATCCATCTCTCATCACGACATACTAGAGATGGTGGAGATAATAGAATTGAAGGATCATATTGAACTTCTTCTCTCTTCATCCTCTTGGCCTTCATCAAGGCTTTATCGACCAAAGCATAACCTCCATGAGACATTATTTGAGGACAATTATTCATTCTCCTAATCTCTTGTGCCCTTCTCCTTCTTTCCTGTGAATTAAAATTAACAAAACACATTAAATTAAATGAACTAGTAGAAAACAAATTAAAATAAACCTACTCACCAAAGCCTCTGGTGTAATTCGAAGCTTGAAGAATTTTTCAAAAGTAGCTGCTTCCAAAAATGTATATTGCATGCAAGGATCAGGCCAAGGCTGTCCTTCTGGCACCTCAACATGCACATATCTACGAGCTACTGATGTCTTGAAACTCCTCCAACGTTTAGAAGCCCAAATCATCAACCTTCGCTTAAAGTTTGCACTAGTAGGGACTTCGTAAGTGACCTACAATAATTAGTAACAAGAGATGTAAAAAGTGCATTTTTATACATTGATGGCTTCCCAAATATGTTCTTTCACACGTTCTGGGACATCGTCCCATGTGGGTGCTAATATACTCGGCTTGCTGCGAGCTTAGAGGGCTACAAAATTGGTATACTTGGTCGCATTAGGCCCGATTAGCTTCCAATTGTTATCAAACTGAATTGGAATCTTTTCATCTCTACTTCGACTCAAAGCCACCTCTCTTAATCGTGTGCTACTTCTAGGTCTCCTCGTTCACGCAGATTGGTTGCTAGGCACGCTTTGGTCTCCCGTTGCAGGGATGCTCTGGTCACCAGTAGTAGACACAATTGGAGTAGAAGGGTCGGACTGGCCCTGATTAATGCTTTGATCCTCCGTGATCCAGTTTAGGCAATAAATAAAATTCATGGATGATATCGCTAATAAAAACATGTTCTAATATGAATCAAACACAAGAAATAACTACTTTAATAAATCATACAAGTTCTAAAATAAATAATGCAAGAAATAACTAATTTAAAAAATCAAACACAATGATAAATAAATAACTAACTTTTAAGATAGTTTTAAATAGTGATATTCTCCCATATCCCTTTATGGTGATCATCTCTTATGCCATGTTCATCATCCACTTCATCTTCTACATTCATTACAAGTAGGCCTCTTGAGAAAGGAGTTTTAGAAATATTGAAATTTGGATAATCCTTCCCATCAATACTAACCTCTCTTTTTCCTTCAAGAGCCACTGACCATCTTTTATTTCTCAGATCTGTGACATAAAACAATTGTTTTGCCTAGTCTGCCATAATAAAAGGTTCATTGCCAAAACTTAAATTATTCAGATTGACCAATGTAAATCCCAACCTATCATGTTGAATACCATTGTTAACATCAACCCACTTACATTTGAAAATGAGGATTCTAAATTTAATATAATCAACCTCCAAGATCTCTTCAATAACCCCATAATAAGGCATGGATGCAAATGAAGGATTCTAATCTTTTGAACTAGAGAAGCGCATGCCTGAGGCCACAAGCATAACACCACTATTCTGCACATTACTCCTGTTATCTAAAGACTTCATGTAGAACAAATACCCATTAATTTCAAATGCAATCCAACATATAACATCACATTCAGGACCTTGTGCCAAGCCTTAAACAATATTAAAAACACAATCTTCCTTATCAATCTTATGTTTGAACCACTTTGCAAAAGTATTGTCATGTTTCTTAATCAGTCTTTGTTCATTCATCCTAGATTGACTATTTTGCTTCCTCACAAGTTCTTTATGCTCACTTATGTAGTCTTAAACTTGATCAACATTATTCAAGATGTGTAAAAGAGCTTGTTGCAATTCATGAAGATCCACACTCTTTATAGAAATGCCGCGTCTACGATCTTTAACATCATGTTGTCTCAATCCAAGGGGTCATACATTATTCAAGTAATCTTGGCAAAATTCTGCCGCTTCTTCAAAGACATATTTTTAAACAATGGATGTTTCAAGATGCTATGGACTCTTTACATACCCTTTTAGGACTTTCATTGTTCTTTCAATTGGGTACATCCATCGTAAATGAACAAGACTACACAACTTTATCTCCCTAACTACATTAACAATTAGATGTATCATGATGTCAAAAAATGATGGAAGAAAGAGTTTTTCAAGTTGGCACAAGATAAGATATGCTTCCTTTTCCAGTTCATCCAATTCTTCAATCTCATGGACTTTATGGCATATATCATTGAAGAAAAAGCAAATTCTAGTTATGACATTTCTCAGTTTATCTTTCCAGAAACCTCGAATAGCCACTGGGAGTAGTTGTTGCATTAAAATATGGCAATCATGAGACTTGAGGCCTACTAATTTCAAATCCTTCATTGACACAAGCCTTTTAAAATTTGAAGAATATCCTGAGGGAACTTTTATGTTGTGCAAGCAATCACAAAAGCTTATTTTCTCATCCTTGCACAATGTATGTTCAGCTAGGGGACAATAAGTCCGCTTACCATCTGGCCTTGGGTGTAAGTCCTCTTTAATTTTCATATCTACCAAATCTAATCTTGCTTTCACACTATCCTTGGACTTGCCCGGTATATTGAAAAGTGTTCCAATAATACTATCACACACATTCTTCTCCACATATATGACATCAATACAATGCCTCACATCAAGATAGCGCCAATATGGAAGGTCAAAGAAGATAGACCTCTTTTTCCATATATTTTTTTCACTAGTCTTTATAGGTTAATCGAAGGTAACATTGATGTCTTTCACCAATTCATAAACCTGCTCTCATGTCAATGGCTTTAGGGCAGTTTCATACTCTTGGCCGCCATACAAAGCTTTCTTCATTTTACGATAACGGTGACCCTCTTCAAGAAATCTCCTATGGCTAAGGTAGACTATCTTCTTTCCATGATGAAGTTGATAGTAACATGTGCCTTCTTCACAAATTGGACATGCTTTATGCCCCTTAATACTATAACCTGACAAGTTTCCATATGTAGAGATGTCATTTATGATGCAAAAGATCATCGCACATAGCTTGAATACCTCTTTCTGATTCACGTTAAATACGTCCACACCTACCTCCCACAACTTTTTCAAGTCTTCAATCAAGGGTTTTAGGTACACATTTCAATTCCGAAATGAACATAGATAACATGATATACTTACATTGCATGCACAACATGGGAGAGAAGTTGTAAATCACTAATAAAACAAGCCATGAGCTATGTATACTGCTAAGGCTGCCATAAGGATTCATACCATCTGTACTAAGTCCAAGCCTGAGGTTCCTTAGATCAATGCTAAACTCAAGAAACAATGTATCAACTTTCTTCCATCATTACGAATCAGCTGGATGTCAAAGCTTTCCATTAGAAATCCTCTCATCCAGATGCCATCTTAAATTATTTGCATCTTTTTCATTAACAAACAACCGTTGAAACCTCGGTATAATTAGAAGATACCATAGTACCTTTGCAGGAGCTTTGTTCTCTTTATACCTACCTTGGTATCTCATATATTAGACATTTTTGCTCCTCTTTATGCTCTTTCCTATATAGTATGCAGTCAATAAGGCATGCATATATTTTCTTAAACTTCATGCCCAGTGGATATAGAATTTTCTTTGCCTCGTAGTAACGAACCGGCAACACATTCTCTTTCAGAAGCATTAATTTCAATAACTTGAGCATTTTTGTGAAACTCTTGTCGCTTCACCTTGATCTAGCTTTCAAGTTTATCAATTCTAACACTGCTTTCAACAGACTATGTTCCTCACAACCCAGTACAAAGGTGTCTCTACATCATCGCACATATTTTTATACACCTGGGATTGCTCAAAGGCCTCTTTACCTACATCACGAATTATGTCCTCCAGTCGATCAGTCATATCATCATTATCACAGTCATCATCAACATCCCGAGATTGAGATGTACTTGGCATCAGCATGTTCAATCTTTCACCATGCCATATCCATACTTTATAACTTTTGAGAAACCCCTCGCAAATTAAGTGTTCACATATATCATTTACAATTAACTGCCTCTCATTCAAACAGTCCCTACAAGGACAAGAAAACCTCCCACTATTATCTTCAGCATTGTTTTGAGCAAATTCCAAAACCCCTTTAACCCCATTAACATATTCTGTACTTGTTCGTTTGGCATCTATCCAACTATGATCCATATATAATTTGACCTCCTAAAACATGATAGAGTTCATGGATTATTACGAAATCCATTACAATAGGGCCTGTCACGTCCCAAAAATTAAACAATAATATAGTTCATAATCATCACCTATAATTAAATTCCTCATATTTCATTCGCCCATTTTATCAAACATCTTAATTGTATTCTCAAAACCAAGCAATAAAACAATACCATTGTTATAAATTATCTAATACAAAACTTCTAAAAATTCAACTAACCATACAATAATTTTAGAATCAAGTCCTTTGTGACGTTGAAGTTAAAACTCAACTAAATAGTATTTTAATTAATTATGCCTCTCACCATAATTAATAAAATTTTATTAAATATATAATCAAGCAAAAATTTTCTTAACGGGCATTTTATTGAACATCACATGAGTATTAATTTTCAAGTTTTAAGTCTAGCTCTTCACTCCCAATCTCATCCTTACCCTTTTTCCATAATTCTCCAATATCAGTATTTAAATTAATAGAGCTTCTCAATAGCATTCCTTCACCATATCTTAATCTTAAACTCAAAAATCAAATCTATCAATTATCATATTTCACTTAACATTTAAATTTTAGCTTGAATCATCCCCCTTCCTTGCATAACCACGAACAGCAATAGCAACAATATCATAAAATTTACAACTTCAACATCACAGATACACACACCACTGAATCAAATCAACAAAATGAGAGAAAAAAAAAAATCAAAAATCCTTACCTCTGCCCATGATAATAGAAGCACGAATAAGGAGAAGATTGTGCAAGAGGAGGAGGAAAAGAAACAAACACACCCCACAGCCACCAGAATAGCGACGACGCAAAGTGACAGGCGATAGAGCAACAGTACCACCTGAGGACGACCTGATAGCAACAGTACGGTAGCTTGGATAGAGGAGGAGGCACGACAGACAGAGAGAAGAAGATTCAGCAACAACGACCAGAGGCGGATGAACAAAGAACGGAAGGGATTAAATGACTCACTCTCCCAGTCGTAGCCACCGCCAAAAGAAATGAAAAGGGGGAGATTTTCGACCCTCTCTCTGCCTCTAGTAACAACTTGATGAAGAAGAAGAAATTGGGGAAGTAGGAGAAGACTCGAAGGTGATAGGCGAAGCTCCTTCAATCACTAACATCAGCGATGAACTGGGAACAAAGAAGGAATGCAGAGGATAAAGGTTTCTGGAGAATTCTCAAACGGAAATATATGGAGAAAGAGGCAGAGAAATGTACTCTAGCTTCTGATTTTATTATTATTATTTCACAATGAGGGCAAAATGAAAATTTCGTGTATATGGGGCCAAAAACAAAATCTACCCCAAGCACTTGGAGGGCTCGAAAACAGGACCAGATGAATGAAGGCCCCAAGAAACATCACCAAGCCATTAATAGATGCCTTCCCCAAAATATATATATTTCAACTATGTTATCATAAATTTGAATTTTAACTTTTTATAACTCTTTTTTAAGGTAGATATTTAAAATATCTCATCATCAATTTTAATTAAATTTTTCTAACTCTTTATTTGTTTGTTTCTTTTTACAAAGATCAAGAGTGAGCAATTTTAAGACCCCTTTGACAATGTAAAAGAACTGATATAGAAAAAATTTAAAAAAATTCATATCCAAACCGGTTATTTAAAATACCCGGTTTAGATATATTAAAAAATAATTTTAAAAAAATTTATTCATATCTAAACTGGTTACAAAAAATAACCAGTTTAGATATGATGTATTAATTATTTTTAAAATTATAAATTATCATATCTAAACTGATTATTTTAAATAATCAATTTAGATATATTAAAAATTAAGTTTTAAAAAAATTTATTTATATCTAAACCGGTTACAAACAATAACCGGTTTAGATATGATATATTAATTATTTTTAAAATTATAAATTATTATCTAAACTAAGTTAGTCCTCATACCCGATTTAAATATATGAAGGAAATAAAAAATATTAAATTATAAATATAAATTTAAATTGGTTATTATTTATAACCGGTTTAGATATTTAATTCTAAACCGGTTGCTTTTATAACCGGTTTAGAAACCATCATATTTTCAATCTTATTTACAGGAATGCTACCGCCCCCAATTGTAAATATCTAAACCGGTTGCTTTTATAACCGGTTTAGAAACCATCATATTTTCAATCTTATTTATAGGAATGCCACCGCCCCCAATTTGTAAATTGTTGGTGAATTAACCGGTTTAGATATGTAGGTTTAAAAACTATATTTTGCTATAGTGTCAACATTTCAATTCTCACTTCATATAGCACCAAACTAATTGTAATTGTCACAAATAAATGAGAAAGAACGAGAATCTACAAATTCCCAATGTTTTGTGGTCCATGGCTTGTCATTTCTTAAGTTGCCGTGTTATATACCAGCTTTCCTAGCTTATCAAAGCATTAGTAAGTGTTTTCGGTGGGCTATTATTTTAAAAAAAATTAATCATATTAATTGTTACATACCAAACTGAGGTATTAAATTAAGAAAAAATTATATACGTAGCTTTAAATACTCAATGTTTTTGTTTTCAATTATATCATGACATATGGATATTTTATAAATTATATTAATATTATTAACACATTAAAATTCACATGTCATAATTTAATTGAATAAAAATATATATGTTGAATATATAAAACTAAGTACCTAAATCTTCCTCTTAAAATGAACACAAATATTCTTCGTAGGAAAAAAAAACACTTAAGGACAAAATTTTCATATTCTTTGTGGAAATTGGGACAATAATATCCCAAACTTTGGGCATAAGTTCTCAAGTCAACAGGTAAACGCAGGTGCAATGAAATAAAAACATAGCAAAAGAAATGAAGTTGTCAGTTTCAAAGCTTTGTCATAGAGAAGAAAACTTCCATAGCAATGGTTGAGCAGTTAATTCTATTTTAAAAATTTAATAACTTTTTCTTGTTGCTTGAGACTTCATATATTGTTACTGAGGAAAGGTATACCGAAAAGCTATTGGCTTGAATACTCTCTCACTCCACAAATCATAGCACCAAATTAATGTTCACAACTAAATAATAATAAACGAAAGTAAAAGCTACTAATTTCAAAGATATGTAGTCTAAGATAGTTCGTGATTTATATTAACATGAAGATAATTTATCCAAACGTGAATGACAGAATGTGAAGATATTAATTTTAAAAGTATATGTGGTCCAATAAATTTGTAATATATACTAACATCAAGATAATTCATAGCACCAAAGTGATATTTGCAAATTAAATAAATGATGAACGGAAGTAAAAGCTACTAATTTTGAAGGTATACGTGGTCCAAAATAATTTGTAATTTATACTAACATAGAGATAATTGTTCAATGTTAAATAGCAGAATGTGAAGGTATATGCGTGTACGCATATATATACCCCATTCTTTATTGGGGTATATAAATTTTATTATATTATAACATACAGAATTTACCTAAAATAGTGATTTCTAATATAATTTGAGTATGTGTATATAATACATGTTTATTAGTGTTATATAAGGGTATAATATATACAGTGAGGATGGTTTCTAATTTCCACTGTAATGCAGTTGGAAAATCTTTTTTAATTTATTCATAAATTAGTATGTGTTCTATTCTATGCACAAGGTGTGAAATGAAACGTAATTTTTTAAATAAATAATAACATATAATTTAAATTATAAACTTGCATTATTATTAATGAATCACTTCTAATTAAATTAAAGTAACTGATTTTTTTAATAGCAATGATGGGTTAAATATAATAATGATTTAAAAATCCCCTGTAACTTCCCATAGGATAAACTTAAAAATAAAGTCAATTTTTATAAAATATATTTAAATTACAAATAATCTATTCACTTTGCACAATTAAATTATAATTGAAAATTAAAATTAATTTCATAAATTGAGTTTAGGGTGAGAAAGTTATGATGCTTGAAATTTTTTAAAATTATAAGTTAAAATTGTAAATAAAAAGCTGAGAAAAATTAGAACGTGATATCATGATGAACTACACTTTGTAATTCTTGCAAGGAAGTTTCTGCTATAAAACATCCATGAGTTTCCAAAATATGCAATATATAAAAATGTCCGTCGTCTTCGGAGTTGAAACCAATCTTCCCCTATTTTTGCTGCCTCTGTTCATTTCTTCTTGGATTATTCCTGATCAACATAAGCAGAGAGAATGCCTAGCAATTCAAAAGTAACTATAGAAGCTTCTATGCAAGCATATTCAACATCAACAAATATAGCACAATTATTTTATGCCTCAACAGGGATTCACATGTGAAAGTAGTGGCTAACACTTCTACACTAAAATTTTGAGGTTTTTACTTGGTTTTTCGTTTGAGTAACTGGAAAGAATAAAAATCAATAATATTGGAACCATGCACATTATTGTCTCATAAACAACATATGAAATGTTGGAAACATATTGTTTAGTTTATAATGCTAAAATTGATCGGCCTCAAAGAAGCTACTTGGCTAAATTTCATATGGAGAAAATGGTAGGCACAATTATCACAACATATATAGATGAACCATAATTGCTAATATAGAAGAAAATCCCTTCCCTACCTCCTAGAATTGAAGAAGGGGCATAAAAACGTGAAATGCAAATAAAAGATAAATAAGTTCTTAAAACCTTATGAGATCATTGAGAAATTATAAATTTAAGATGGATACACCGAAATACAAAGATGGAGCGGGAATGCTGAGTTGTGATATGACCAAAAGCTTACAGCAATGCAAAGGACGTGCCAACCTAGAAAAATAAAAATAAGGGTATAATCAAAACATGAAATTCAACCTCAAATCATGTACATGTTCAACAGTGGGTTGGTTTTTGATGCTTATCATAGTGATAAGCACTGTAATGAGTACTATCGTACTTATTACTTGGATGAAATCTAGATCATTCAGACTAAAATTTGAATGATCCAAATTTAAAATATTATCATTGTGATGAGATCTATAAAACTAACCCAAGCAATGATCACAATAAACATGATATTTCCGATTATCCAAGCAACCTTCCACCATAAACAATCAGAAACAGTGAAGCTGCAATTCCTTTCCAACAAAACACTATCTGTGCTGAGTATTTGATATCTAACAAACAAATACTGTGAACAGAGAAAAGAAGAATGATAGTGAAGTGACAGTAGCTCACGTACCAGCGAGAAAACTTGTGAGAAAGAGAATGGTTGTTGTGCAAGGAAGACGATCGAAGGAAGGAAAAAGAATCAAATATAACATAAGCCACAAGAGAAACACCTCAAGAAAACAATTAGGGAAAAGGGGAAAATTGTTAAACGTAAAAAAAAAAAATGAAGGAAGGAAGGAAGAGAACACAATTTGAGATTGCGGCTTCATGAGGAAGAGCAGTTTTGCATCAAATGTAAGAAAATACGAAGTGGCTACAGTTTCAAAATGGGAAGTGTCTTTGACAGTTTTAAAAATAAGTAGTTATCTTTTTTAAAAAAAAGAATCCCTTTTTGAATCCCTTTTTGAAATTAAAAATGACGTGGCAGAATGCCGAAATTGGCATAGGGGCAAATAGTATTTTCCCTCGCTTGACTATAGAGAGAAAAATTAATGGAATGAAGAGAAAATTGAGAGAAAAAAATAACAAATGTGATCTACATGTTTTCACCTAGAACTTTTCTCTCCAAATATAGGGAGATTTAGGAGAGAAAATTTTGTTTTCAAATTTACCTATCAATATTTTCATTACTGCCTCTTGCTTTTCGTTTATTTTCATCATAACTTTCTCTCTACTATAGAAGCCGTAACCAGTTTTAATTCTCATCATATATATAAGCGCTGAAAACTCATCACATCTAGACCGTTCATATCTAATTTTCATGATCCATATTTATAGATTTTCAACTGGTGTTTCTTAAATAATTTTTTTTTTGAAAAATTGATAGTTAAAAGATTGTTCTTATTTTAGATTCTATATTCATTAAAATAATTTTTTTAAAAAATAAAAGTAAAAAGTTGTAAATATCATATTAGATCTAAATGGTTTAGACGTGATGAACTCTCAATACTCATCTATATTATGAGCATTGAAACTTAT